CTGAGCGGGATCTTAGCCATTTCTTGTATTGCTCCTTTTTACATTTCACTGAATGTTCCTCCTGTGTATCTAATACCACAGAGTGTTGTTAGGCAGTTCAGAAGAGTGTTCTTAAATTTTTGCCACGCAGCTTCCACATTGTCACTTGATGTTATTAGCTCAGCCATCTTCGCCGTCATTTCTGCCTGTACTTTTGCTTGGTTGTCTAGATTGCTTAGGTGTCTTATGTCAATCATTGAGGTACGTACTGATGTTTTCGGTTTTTTGTTAATTGTTGCTTCGCTTAGATATACGATCAGCGGTCGATGGTCTGTATTTAAAGAGATGTTAGGAATTACTCTTGCGTCTTTTACTAAGCTTCTTCTCTTTTGTCGATTTAGTATGTAGTCCAACTATGCGGCCTGGTCTGGGTTGCTCCATTTATACCAGGTGTTTATTTGGCTTTGTCGATGCTGATAGAAACTATTGGTGACATAAAGGCCATGCTATGCACAAAGTTCTAAAATACGCTGCCCGTTGTAATTGCAGACTTTGCTGTTGTCTGAGTGTGGCCCGATATATTCCTCCCATGGTGTTCGCCTCTGCCCTATATGCCCATTTAGGTCACCTATTACCATAAGATCATCATTTGCGTGTATCTGACTGATGACATCCGACACTGAGTCAAAGAAGTTATCTTTCTCTTCCAAGGTGTAACCATCATTGGTGGGTGCGTATACCTGCACAATGCTTGTATTTCTTGTTTTCCCATAGAGTTGCAATACTATAATCCTTTCAGATACATATTCTATATTCTTTACATGTTTAGCGATATCCGGATGGAGAATAAAACCGACTCCATGAGTCGCTCTCTGCTCTTTCTTAACGCCGCTCCAAAATATGACATAGTTGTTATGAATTTCTTTTGTTATGTTGCCTTTTTTCCTGCAATCTGATATTCCCATTATATCGATCTTATGTTTCATCATGAATTCTACTATTTTTGGTTCTTTATTTGTAAGACCACAAACATTCCATGTTCCGATTTTTGTCGCTTGGCTAGTTTGTTTACAATGAGTGAGAGATGGCTGACCTGTTCTCAAGCCCTGATTGTTGTTACGTTTGATGGATTTTCTAATCTCGTATATTGTTTCTAGAGCAGATTTTTGTGAACTCTTAAATCCACTGCCGATTTGCTGGACCTGACACAGATTCATCCTTAAGAGAACACTGGAAAACACGTAAATCACATCGAGAACACTGAACAATTTCACACCCGTTGAATAACACCCTGCAGCAGTATCTAACTTTAAAGAGACATATTTCATGGTACTCGTAAACTATAATCAACTTACCCAAGATTAGGAGTCCTTCAAAGATTAAACTGGTATTTTGAACGCGCCAATATTTAATCAGAGAGTTGAAATGCGTCTCGACACCTCAGAGGTCTGGCAAAGAATGACCTCGCCAGATTTTGCTTGGCGTCTCTAGAAAAGAAGTCCTGTATTAGTGGCTCCCCCCCCCTCCCACCCCCCACCCCCACGTCTGTCCTTAAGCAGATTTAAATACATGATCTTTGGGCCAGTAGGTGGCAAGCCGTTAGCCACTACACAACTATGGCCTGTCTTCTCTTTGGGAGCAATAGCTGCTCCAAGAGTAATTTACTCCATATCACATAATAAAAACTTTAAATTAACTATAATTATATATTCCTATTTCTCTACAGCGCGGAGCATCTCTTGTTAGATTCAGAGGCTGGAGAAAATTCCAAGATAAACATAGAGGACACTTTACAAAGGTAGGTAAAATACATAGAGATTTGCATCCCTGCTAACCTGTCGAGTCTTTATATATCGTTCAAGGTTTTTCCCCCACCTTGACTCCCATGTATTATATAATTTCTTAGTATTGACCAACTGCGGCATCCGTGGCTAAGGCGTTGCGAGTCTGACTCGTAATCCAACGTGCCGCGATCGAAACCCACTGCGGGCTGTGTGGATTTTTATCGTGGTATGGGACGTCGCAGGTCGACCCATCCTCAAAGGGGTACCAGGATGGGCTGTCCTGGGAAAGTAAAGACGGCCGGCGTAATGCTGACCACATTACCCACCGAATGCCGATTGATCTGTAAAAATATGGGTGCTCTTCCCATATGCCCAATGCGCCTAAGGGCGTGTAAAGAGATCTTTACTTTACTTTTACTTTTATTGACCAACAGTAAATCCAGCAGAAAGTTCTCGTAGTTTTTTAAAATCTTTTTCTAGACTTTGGTCTTCTTCTAGAACTTTGGTATTGCGTGCACATTCGTTTTACATGCCTGGCTTATTTGTGTATAGGTTGTTGGTTCTTCACCTCTCAGTCAGATGCCCTGGTCTCTAGGTAGTCAGACCGGACGCCTGTGGGAATTATTGTGCACGTGAAAAATCCCTTGGCAGTTAGAAATCAAATAGAGTAGCCTAACGGCGCTGCACAGGCAAAATTTGGAGTTTAAAATCTACCCAAAAATATTTTAGGATCCTTGCCGATGCTATGGAGCCTGTGCACTGTCCTGAGCTACTTCGGACTCAGACTTGAGTTAGAAGTAGAATGGAGCACTTGTGGGTTACTACCTGCGTGCCATGATGTTGATCCGTTGTTCGAACTTTAGGCAGTTGCACTCTGATTTTGCAATAAATATACCTAATTAGTCGACTTTAACGACCTAGAAAAATGATTGTCAAAAGCCATGGCAGCAGAAATATTTAACTTTGTTTTTCTGAAAAAGCACCCGGGTGTGATTTGGCTAATTTTTGTTATGGTACTCTACAAAATGTCATAGATAATTATGCTGCATACATTTAGCCTACATTTGGGAAACACAATTACAGTAAACAAAAAGTATTTTGCAACAAACATCATTACTAGACAATAGTTAGAAATAACACAACACAGCAGGAAATGATGCTGAAGTAGTCTTCTTCTATTGGCATTCACTGGTTGTAAACTTCGACGAAAAGTTCAGGTTGTTCATCCACCTCTAGACTTAAGTCTTGTTCCGGAACCTGGGTGTTTTGTGCATATTTGTCACATACCACTCGTGTCGCGTGCCTGATTTAGGGATTTCTCCATAAGAACCAACAGCACTCTGAAATAATAATGTGGCGTCGGCTCGTATTGGTCTAAGGGATATCCCGTTGCCAAAATACGCTCAACTTATTTCAGGAGTAGGCCAACTCAAGTTCTGGCACTACAGAATATCTAATATTCCTAGGCACATTTGGCTGGACGCCCCCACTACTATAAAAAGATAGCCCCCAGGCTATGATAGTATACTACAACAGCCATGTTAACAGATGAAGATTATTAATTGAACATACATGTTCTTTAGACAGCTAAGAACAATAAATGAGTGACACTCCAGTCAATAGTGAAACCTTAAAAATACATGTAATCAGTTCAACATCACATGATATGGTGACTCAAAGGAAGATTAAAAGCATGGACCTGTTGCAAGATCAATACCGAAATTTCTCTTGACGGACATGAGGACTCTTAGAGGCAGCCTGACATCTTCATGGTGTTGTGGCATGGACCTGTAAATATAGAACAGGTTGAAGAGTCACTGCATTCCAGGTTAAGTCACTGCACTTATCAGTCATGAAACTGGAACAGGCTGGCCTTCTGAGAAAGATCACTTCAATGGTTGATCTGGCAGACACAGTCACATATAGATCAAAATTTGGGCTGAACTAGCTCCTGAAGAGGGTGTTCTGGACGGAAGGTGGTCCTGATGGACTGGAACAACAGCCTTTCAGCCACTGGAACCCAACACGCTCCTGGAGAACGCACACTGGTGTGAATGTCAGTTGGGCTGCCTGTAAGCAGATGCCTACTCTTTGTCTCCCACCTTGCTGTTTGCCATAGTGATGGTTTGGTAGTGGGTAATTTGTTGGTTGGTGCTTTGGTAGAAGGCACTTTGATGGTTGGTGCCTTTCTAGACTGCTGATTCAATGCCTGGCCTCCAAGGAGATTTCATCCTGTATCAGGAAGGAACTCAGAATTAGTAATCATCTCAGAGGTTACATGCTCAGCTCATTTATTTACCCTCCACCCTGGCAATCACTCAGAGGACAACTCTAGCATATTAAGACAGCAGAAGCCTCCAAATTTCTCTCTGTCGGTCAGTCAGGAACAGGGACAGGAGACAAGTACAACAGTGGAGACAGATAGATTCTCTCAAACATAAACCATCAAATCTCCAGACCCACCTCTGCACTTGTAGATATACATCTCATCTCTCTCTTACACCTATATTTTATACCATCCACCGTCTGCTCATCGCACACACTGTGTTGTGCTAAACTAACTTCTGATGTCACAGCGCCTAACTGGCTGAAGTGTGACCTAGTTTAATATGTCTGCTAATCGAAACAAACTCAGTTATCTGGTTAGAGAATAATTAACTTGCTGGGTTTAATATCTTTATAATGGTGTGGGTCATGTAGGGCACAAACTATTAGCCTGCTAAGGGAAAGGTTTGATTTTGGGGGCTTGAGTGTCTGGACACCAAGAACGGCCTAGTTCTGTGCAGTCACACAGCTGAATCTTCCCTCCCTGCAGCAGTATCTAACTTTAAAGAGACATATTTCATGGTACTCGTAAACTATAATCAACTTACCCAAGATTAGGAGTCCTTCAAAGATTGAACTGGTATTTTGAACGCACCAATATTTAATCAGAGAGTTGAAATGCGTCTCGACACCTCAGAGGTCTGGCAAAGAATGACCTCGCCAGATTTCGCTTGGCGTCTCTAGAAAAGAAGTCCTGTATTATTGCCCCCCCCCCCCCCCCCCCCCCACGTCTGTCCTTAAGCAGATTTAAATACATGATCTTTGGGCCAGTAGGTGGCAAGCCGTTAGCCACTACACAACTATGGCCTGTCTTCTCTTTGGGAGCAATAGCTGCTCCAAGAGTAATTTACTCCATATCACATAATAAAAACTTTAAATTAACTATAATTATATATTCCTATTTCTCTACAGCGCGGAGCATCTCTTGTTAGATTCAGAGGCTGGAGAAAATTCCAAGATAAACATAGAGGACACTTTACAAAGGTAGGTAAAATACATAGAGATTTGCATCCCTGCTAACCTGTCGAGTCTTTATATATCGTTCAAGGTTTTTCCCCCACCTTGACTCCCATGTATTATATAATTTCTTAGTATTGACCAACTGCGGCATCCGTGGCTAAGGCGTTGCGAGTCTGACTCGTAATCCAACGTGCCGCGATCGAAACCCACTGCGGGCTGTGTGGATTTTTATCGTGGTATGGGACGTCGCAGGTCGACCCATCCTCAAAGGGGTACCAGGATGGGCTGTCCTGGGAAAGTAAAGACGGCCGGCGTAATGCTGACCACATTACCCACCGAATGCCGATTGATCTGTAAAAATATGGGTGCTCTTCCCATATGCCCAATGCGCCTAAGGGCGTGTAAAGGATCTTTACTTTACTTTTACTTTTATTGACCGACAGTAAATCCAGCAGAAAGTTCTCGTAGTTTTTTAAAATCTTTTCTAGACTTTGGTCTTCTTCTAGAACTTTGGTATTGCGTGCACATTCGTTTTACATGCCTGGCTTATTTGTGTATAGGTTGTTGGTTCTTCACCTCTCAGTCAGATGCCCTGGTCTCTAGGTAGTCAGACCGGACGCCTGTGGGAATTATTGTGCACGTGAAAAATCCCTTGGCAGTTAGAAATCAAATAGAGTAGCCTAACGGCGCTGCACAGGCAAAATTTGGAGTTTAAAATCTACCCAAAAATATTTTAGGATCCTTGCCGATGCTATGGAGCCTGTGCACTGTCCTGAGCTACTTCGGACTCAGACTTGAGTTAGAAGTAGAATGGAGCACTTGTGGGTTACTACCTGCGTGCCATGATGTTGATCCGTTGTTCGAACTTTAGGCAGTTGCACTCTGATTTTGCAATAAATATACCTAATTAGTCGACTTTAACGACCTAGAAAAATGATTGTCAAAAGCCATGGCAGCAGAAATATTTAACTTTGTTTTTCTGAAAAAGCACCCGGGTGTGATTTGGCTAATTTTTGTTATTGTACTCTACAAAATGTCATAGATAATTATGCTGCATACATTTAGCCTACATTTGGGAAACACAATTACAGTAAACAAAAAGTATTTTGCAACAAACATCATTACTAGACAATAGTTAGAAATAACACAACACAGCAGGAAATGATGCTGAAGTAGTCTTCTTCTATTGGCATTCACTGGTTGTAAACTTCGACGAAAAGTTCAGGTTGTTCATCCACCTCTAGACTTAAGTCTTGTTCCGGAACCTGGGTGTTTTGTGCATATTTGTCACATACCACTCGTGTCGTGTGCCTGATTTAGGGATTTCTCCATAAGAACCAACAGCACTCTGAAATAATAATGTGGCGTCGGCTCGTATTGGTCTAAGGGATATCCCGTTGCCAAAATACGCTCAACTTATTTCAGGAGTAGGCCAACTCAAGTTCTGGCACTACAGAATATCTAATATTCCTAGGCACATTTGGCTGGACACCCCCACTACTATAAAAAGATAGCCCCCAGGCTATGATAGTATACTACAACAGCCATGTTAACACAGATGAAGATTATTAATTGAACATACATGTTCTTTAGACAGCTAAGAACAATAAATGAGTGACACTCCAGTCAATAGTGAAACCTTAAAAATACATGTAATCAGTTCAACATCAACATGATATATGACTCAAAGGAAGATTAAAAGCATTGGAATATTGCAAGATCAACACCGAAATTCTCTTGACGGACATTGAGGAATCTCTTGGAGGCAGCCTGACATCATCATGGTGATGTGGCATGGACCTGTAAATATAGAACACGGCATGACCATAGAGTTCACCACTTATCTGTTCCTATTCCAGGTTGAAGTCACTGCACTTATCAGTTCATGAAACTGGAACAGGCTGGCCTTCTGAGAAAGATCACTTCAATGGTTGATCTGGCAGACACAGTCACATATAGATCAAAATTTGAGCTGAACAAGCTCCTGAAGAGGGTGTTCTGGACGGAAGGTGGTCCTGATGGACTGGAACAACAGCCTTTCAGCCACTGGAACCCAACACGCTCCTGGAGAACGCACACTGGTGTGAATGTCAGTTGGGCTGCCTGTAAGCAGATGCCTACTCTTTGGCTCCCACCTTGCTGTTTGCCATAGTGATGGTTTGGTAGTGGGTAATTTGTTGGTTGGTGCTTTGGTAGAAGGCACTTTGATGGTTGGTGCCTTTCTAGACTGCTGATTCAATGCCTGGCCTCCAAGGAGATTTCATCCTGTATCAGGAAGGAACTCAGAATTAGTAATCATCTCAGAGGTTACATGCTCAGCTCATTTATTTACCCTCCACCCTGGCAATCACTCAGAGGACAACTCTAGCATATTAAGACAGCAGAAGCCTCCAAATTTCTCTCTGTCGGTCAGTCAGGAACAGGGACAGGAGACAAGTACAACAGTGGAGACAGATAGATTCTCTCAAACATAAACCATCAAATCTCCAGACCCACCTCTGCACTTGTAGATATACATCTCATCTCTCTCTTACACCTATATTTTATACCATCCACCGTCTGCTCATCGCACACACTGTGTTGTGCTAAACTAACTTCTGATGTCACAGCGCCTAACTGGCTGAAGTGTGACCTAGTTTAATATGTCTGCTAATCGAAACAAACTCAGTTATCTGGTTAGAGAATAATTAACTTGCTGGGTTTAATATCTTTATAATGGTGTGGGTCATGTAGGGCACAAACTATTAGCCTGCTAAGGGAAAGGTTTGATTTTGGGGGCTTGAGTGTCTGGACACCAAGAACGGCCTAGTTCTGTGCAGTCACACAGCTGAATCTTCCCTCCCTGCAGCAGTATCTAACTTTAAAGAGACATATTTCATGGTACTCGTAAACTATAATCAACTTACCCAAGATTAGGAGTCCTTCAAAGATTGAACTGGTATTTTGAACGCACCAATATTTAATCAGAGAGTTGAAATGCGTCTCGACACCTCAGAGGTCTGGCAAAGAATGACCTCGCCAGATTTCGCTTGGCGTCTCTAGAAAAGAAGTCCTGTATTATTGCCCCCCCCCCCCCCCCCCCCCCCGTCTGTCCTTAAGCAGATTTAAATACATGATCTTTGGGCCAGTAGGTGGCAAGCCGTTAGCCACTACACAACTATGGCCTGTCTTCTCTTTGGGAGCAATAGCTGCTCCAAGAGTAATTTACTCCATATCACATAATAAAAACTTTAAATTAACTATAATTATATATTCCTATTTCTCTACAGCGCGGAGCATCTCTTGTTAGATTCAGAGGCTGGAGAAAATTCCAAGATAAACATAGAGGACACTTTACAAAGGTAGGTAAAATACATAGAGATTTGCATCCCTGCTAACCTGTCGAGTCTTTATATATCGTTCAAGGTTTTTCCCCCACCTTGACTCCCATGTATTATATAATTTCTTAGTATTGACCAACTGCGGCATCCGTGGCTAAGGCGTTGCGAGTCTGACTCGTAATCCAACGTGCCGCGATCGAAACCCACTGCGGGCTGTGTGGATTTTTATCGTGGTATGGGACGTCGCAGGTCGACCCATCCTCAAAGGGGTACCAGGATGGGCTGTCCTGGGAAAGTAAAGACGGCCGGCGTAATGCTGACCACATTACCCACCGAATGCCGATTGATCTGTAAAAATATGGGTGCTCTTCCCATATGCCCAATGCGCCTAAGGGCGTGTAAAGGGATCTTTACTTTACTTTTACTTTTATTGACCGACAGTAAATCCAGCAGAAAGTTCTCGTAGTTTTTTAAAATCTTTTTCTAGACTTTGGTCTTCTTCTAGAACTTTGGTATTGCGTGCACATTCGTTTTACATGCCTGGCTTATTTGTGTATAGGTTGTTGGTTCTTCACCTCTCAGTCAGATGCCCTGGTCTCTAGGTAGTCAGACCGGACGCCTGTGGGAATTATTGTGCACGTAAAAAATCCCTTGGCAGTTAGAAATCAAATAGAGTAGCCTAACGGCGCTGCACAGGCAAAATTTGGAGTTTAAAATCTACCCAAAAATATTTTAGGATCCTTGCCGATGCTATGGAGCCTGTGCACTGTCCTGAGCTACTTCGGACTCAGACTTGAGTTAGAAGTAGAATGGAGCACTTGTGGGTTACTACCTGCGTGCCATGATGTTGATCCGTTGTTCGAACTTTAGGCAGTTGCACTCTGATTTTGCAATAAATATACCTAATTAGTCGACTTTAACGACCTAGAAAAATGATTGTCAAAAGCCATGGCAGCAGAAATATTTAACTTGTGTTTTTCTGAAAAAGCACCCGGGTGTGATTTGGCTAATTTGTTATGGTTAATCTACAAAATGTCCAAGATAATTATAATATCTGATAATTATACAACCTATATTATACCCATCCACCGTTATTGTACTCTACACAAACTATTAGCCTGCTAAGGGAAAGGTTTGATTTTAGGGGATTGAGTGTCTGGACACCAAGAACGGCCTAGTTCTGTGCGGTCACACAGCTGAATCTTCCCTCCCCGCAGCAGTATCTAACTTTAAAGAGACATATTTCATGGTACTCGTAAACTATAATCAACTTACCCAAGATTAGGAGTCCTTCAAAGATTAAACTGGTATTTTGAACGCGCCAAAATTTAATCAGTGTGTTGAAATGAGTCTCGACACCTCAGAGGTCTGGCAAAGAATGCCCGCCCAGATTCCGCTTGGCGTCTCTAGAAAAGAAGTCCTGTATTAGTGCCCAAGGAGTAAAAAGGCTTACAGGAATTTCTGAATATTATTCCAGAGAATATCTATCCCAGAGTTGCAAGTTTGAAAAAGTAGACTTCTCAAAACAACTAGAGGGTCTAGAAATGTTTATTCCACCAGATAGAGGTATATATCAATATGAAGGACTATATACCCACCGGACGGTTTTACATTTGAATTGTGACCTGGCCGCTAGGGGTGTCAACCTCACGAATAGCCTAAAATGTAGGGTTGGTTGTTCACTCCGTGACAATATTCATTTTACACATGTGACTTATATGTGTGCCGATTATTTGTTTCTTGCCTCTCAGGCAGATGCACTACGACTTTCAAAGGAATTGCCCCAGTTAGTCGTCTTTTGGGGGGGGGGGGGGGGGGGGTTTTGTTTGTTTTCCTCATAATGGATCCCCAGAACCCTCAACAGGAAGATGTTGAAGTAACTTATTAATGTTTTGCAGTGGTATGCAAACATGTGTGAAATGATGAAAATAAGCCAGCAGAATGAAATGAAATATGTGGTACTTAACTCAGCCTAAAGAGGTCACTGTATAGGCCACAGAGAGGGTGGAGATATGCAGCAGTAAAGAGGTGAAGTGGTAATGTTAATTGAACAGGATGATTGTCCAAGCCAGAGGTGAGGGGTTTCTAGTGAGATAGTTGGGCTAAGCAAGAAGATGTAGTGTATTTGGAAATGGGTGTGTAGAAAGTGGAGAGAGAAAAATAGGTGATTAAAAAGAGTAGATGTGTCAACATCCCTCCTACTTCAGAAGTAGTCTTCTGTAAAAATCAACTGAGCCACCACCATTAGCGGGAGAATAAATATACAAAGAAAGAAGACAGAACAAGGAGTGAAGAAAGAAGAATAAAGCGAGGTGGAATGGACAAGGAAGAGGCACAGATGAAGAAGAGATGGTGGAAGAAGAAGAAAAAGATTACCATTCTTGCTGTGTGCTACTTAACATATTCTAGTAGTGGTATTTAGTAATGTGTGTGTATATCTTCCACGGTGTGCATGTGGAACCGCATATGTACGAAAGTTTTCAACAGTAAGTCATTTTTTAATATTCAAAATCATCATCATTACGAATATAGAGTTCAGGTTAGAGATCAAACTTATTGAAGTATTTGCACAGTCAGGCCATACAGTTTCCATATAGCTCTGTGGTGGATGAGGTTGTGGAAGATTACTCCCAGCTTTTGCCAGCTCATCTTCTCTCTCATTTCCTTGAATACCACATTAGGCTCGTATCCACTGCAGGACTTGTACTGCTTTCTTGGAAAGTAAGCCAATGTTGGTCCTTAGATCTGTAATTAGTTTGTCTTGTTTTTTGCCTAATAGAATCATGCATAGGACTTTTTTGATAATTTATATTTTTATGTTTTTTTTTCTGCAGCTTACTATATCCTCCACAAGGTAATTAATCAGTTTCATTATCTTTATATTCTCTATTAGTTATTTTGGTTATCATCACTGTCCATAGATGCTCAGACCCTCCCCTCAGGATGAACCCTAGCCTCCGGTGGCTGATGGTACCAGTTCTGTTTTAATTACCAAGTCTTCTGGTGTGTGTCTGGTTTTTTGCTGTGCTGATCCTAACTCTTTTAAGTCTCTTATTCTGGCGTGTAATGTGGATTCACTGCATCCAAAGCCCTGCTCCCTTCCTGTTTCTCAGAGGGCATTAACAGTATCAGCATGATCCATAGGTTGACCCTCGGCAGGGATGGCGGATCCAGCTCTTTTATTCCCATCGACGCCCGCATGCCCCGGAACAAAAATGAAGGTGACTCTATGCACATTGGACTTTTGTATGGCTCAAGCCACTGCCTTCTTACCGAACCTGTCTCAACCCTCTGGATCATACTCATTGAATCACTGAGTACACATGCACGGGTGTATGTAGTTTTGTATTTTGAGCCATGCAAAAGCTTGCTTTACTGCCGTCACCTCCATTGTCATGCTGCTGGTTGTCTTGGAGAAGGCACATTGGCTTCTTCGACTGTCCTGCTTGCTAAGCATGCTGTGAACGCCCAAGCACTTCTTATATGTTATAGAGAAAATGATCTGTGCTTTTTTTCATAGTCATAGTTTCTATCTTTCCAAATCATAGTGTTCTGTTGTGCTATATGGAGAAATGGGAATCTTATCCCATGGCGATAGCTCCCCACAGAACAAAGCCTGGGCAGTGTTGATGCCTATGCAGTATGTTCCCTCTTTGGCCTGCATTGCTAACTCTAAAGTAAAGGTAACACCAGTATCCTTGGAACAAAGCATGCAGCAGACGTTATCAAAATAGCTCTCAAATCAGAAGAGCAGTGCTGTTTCCTACTTGTTTGTAATGAACTGTTTTACTGGAGAAATTCTAAGTGTAAGAAGTTTTATGTGATATACAAGAAGATAGTTATCTTTATCTGCATTATGGAGGGGGGAGGGGGGCATTGTGTTGTGGTTTTCAGCAAAACTACAGTATCATTGCCTTTTGGCCGAATACATTTGATTTCAGCAAACCCATAATTATTCACCTGTTGTTGCAGTCTTGTTGGGTGGGGAAGGGGGGGGGGGGGGGTGCAGAACCTACATGGTAAAGAAAGTACTGATAGTGCTTATGAATTTATGGTTCAGGAAGTGTTAGAATCCATACAACAATTTTTTCTTCTTCAGAATTTGACTGGGGACACCAAGTTATTCCACATCCAGACGAACAAGGAGGGGTATGTCCTTTTGTGCATAAATTATTTTAAAATACAAATAATTACTGTTTTCCTAGCATCCTTCAGTCATAGATATGGTTAAATAATCTCATACCTCAGGCAAATGCGCTCTGACTTTTAAGGGAACACCTCTAATTCATTGACTTTTACGACATGCTTGAGAGGGGGCAATAGGTCAGTTCATTCCCCCCACTCAGCCACATGCACACACTGTGGGACCCCAGAACTCAATCAGGGAAAAATAAGCATGGAGTAACATATGCCTGAGGCATCAGTGTTTTAAAAAGGTTCCTTCACTCATATTGCTCGCGGGTGTATGTGTGTGTGTGTCTCTCCCCCCCCCCCCCCCCCCCCCAAGAAAGTCGGTTATGTGTGAAAATTTATTCAGCAAGCATCATCTTCACTTCCTCTGTTACTTCTTCTGGTGTCATGGGAGATATAAGGTTGTGTTCCTTGATTTTCTGGCTGCCTAAACCATAGACACATTGTGCAGTTGTAGAGTTTCTCTAATGTTATCTTTCCATCTTGATCTTTCTAGGATTCAGTCGATTTAGCTTTAGTTCAGCGTCCACCAGATATTGGCGGTACAGACACCTCAGATCTTTTCAGCGTTTGGGATGACCAGATAGGAGGAGGAGTGGCTAGTATTGTCATCACTGAAGATGAAGAAAACCAGCAGAGTCACAGTGCTACAGAGGTAGGTAATATATTGTCTCCATAGTTTTTGTTCTATATGTTTCTATCGTAAAAGATATTTCATTTTTATATTTTGTATTCTTTTGGAATGGCTAAGGTTAAGGGCTAATTTACCTGAGGTTATGTATAATCACCAGCAGTTATGTGAGAATGGATAGATGAAATTATTATAGCGGTATAATAGGACCTGCAGAGTTTTGTGTACAAGTTCACTTTACATGATAAAATCTGCTGCACGTGTATATACCACCTGAGACAAGCAAAGCCAACATATTGTGGTTTGGTTGGTAATGGAACTGTTTTATTGCACACTGATGTTAAAAAAATAAAAATTTTAGTGCTTTAGTTTCCTGTCATGAAATGGACACCGGAATGTCAGCACAGTTTAGAAGTTCCCAATGGACTAGCATATAGATGTGCGTGAATCAGAATCATCTATCTATAAATATGATTTTGAGAAGTCTTGTCAGATGTTTCTTCATTGTAAATATTTGGCCTTCTTGCTAGTTGCGTAATTGACTGAACATTTTGCCCAGAACTAATGTTTAAACAAAAAATATTTGTACACCAAGCACGTTATTAACATAGCTTCATTATTTTTTGAAACTTTACCATTAGAATCTACTTATAGAGAAGAGGAACGAATTTAGTCAGTTTGTATAACAAACCAAAGGCTCAATCCGATAAACATCAAGCAGACAGACAGTTTTTAAGCCAGTATATTTTCGGAGCTCCTAATTGAAAAAAAAAAAAAAAAAAAAAAAGGGTCCGCGTTTTGTGTGTGTGCAAGCGTGCGTGAAACAACCATTTCTAGTAAGAGAAGTTATTATTAAATACAAATGCAGCAGAGAAATTTATGAATTCCCTTTCACCATCAAAAATCATATTCTGTGAAAATACTGTTTTTAATTTGATTATATCAGTGTTTTTTTTTAAATAAAAAAAAAATGCTTCAAGATTTTGCCCAGATAAACTTTGCAAACGACAAATTGTTGTACATTCTGTCAAGCTGACATACTGGGTCATCGGCGCAAGTTTTGTAATGTACACAACATCATTCATTCTCTTGTGGCATTATACGAAGTAAAGTGCTTGCATTCTAGTCTTCCATTCTGTTCTATCCTGTCCTATTGATATCAGTGGATGGAGTCCAGTCGAGCGCCTCAGGTCTCTTCTTTTTACAATATATTTATCTGTTATAAACACAAACAAATACAGCCAGTAAAAAGATCTGAACAAACTACCCACTGTGAAAGCTGTCATGCACTTGCTAATTACCCATTTATTTATTTTTTATTTGTGTGCTGCAAGAAGTTTACCATAACACTGGACCCACGTTCCTCTAACCCCTGCATTAGAACCTAATTCATTACTTTGTTTTTGTACAGGGTTCTTCTCCCTAATGAAGTGTGGTTGTAAAAGATTTGCAAAGCATGCTGAAACAAAGATGGACCCAGTCATGATGTGTGCAAAGTGGCAAGCATTGCTTCAAAGATCTTGTATAGTTAATGTTTTTTCTCTCTTTGGGAAATGAACTGTTAGATAGATAAGCTGATGCTACATCAGTGTATGGTGAATTAATTCATGATAAGCTATATGTGGTTAAAGACTTTTGGGAGCAAGTTAACAGTTCAGAAGTGCAAACAGATCGTTACATTGTGGAGAGAATGGTGCAGCAGAGAGGGACCAGGGGATCTGGTTGACACTATACTTAGACAAAAAGCGTGATGAACATAGACTTACACAGATACCATCAGCATTGTAACCCTTGTGGCTGCTGAGGGTAAGGACAGGGCAGTTATGGTAGTGTCCGAAGTTCTGTGATGTCAGTTGTTAACTCATTTCAACAACTTAACCCAATTTTACTAAAAACGTCTTTAATTTAAAAACAGGAAAAAAAATAAAGATTTGAGTCCTTGCCTGGAAATTAGACATGGATTTATTTTGAAAAAAAAAAAAAAAAAAAAAAGAAACTAAATCTGCACAAGGTGGAGAGTTGTGAGCTGCCATTCTTGTACAGAGCTGTCTATTTTGCCAAGATAAAAATATCTTAATTTCTTTCACAGAATGTTTAAAAGTAATGGTCATCAGGATGTGTAAAACCTGCAGCCAAGACCATTCTGCTCAAATTATCTTTAAACTTATTTATTTATTTTTGAAAATGTTACCCCAAAAAAATCTTGCATTTTCCTTTACTACATCTAATTTACGGTAATTTTATAATTTGGTTTCTGTTGCTTGTGTTGATTTATCGTAGAAATGTATTATATTTGCTGTTATGTTAAAAATTATAAATTTTTGTTTGTAAGAGCGTATAAGCTAGGAAAAACACTTTGATAAGTTTCCATTTAGTCTACAAGTCTGTTAGAACTGTATTTTTCAACAATCTTATTCTGTTTATCTACCCTCTGTATTTTTAGTGCTGTCTTCTTCTTTTTAACATTCATTTGATGTAAACTCTGGTGGAATTTCTGATTCCTTATCCATTTCTGGACTTTAGTCTTGTTCCAGAACTTGAGTTTTCAATGCAAATCCATTTTACAGATCTGGCGTGTTTATCTGCAGTCTTGGCTCCTTGCCTCTCTGGCAGATGCATTCTGACTTCGAGATAACACCCTTAACCTAATTAGTTATTTTTACAACATGCTTGATGTTTCTGTTCTTGTCTTTTATTTTGCCCTGAAAATAGGGCCTTGGAAACCACACAGGCAGTTGCTGAATGTGGCTTGCCATGGATTGTGGTTTTGCTGCAGATGATGGTAGACAGCATTTAAAGTGTGTATGAATGATTGCATTAAAAAAGAAAATTGCTTATATTAACTCTGTCAGAGCCAAGCAACTCAACAAGTGTTTCTTAGTCATTCCAAAGATAATATAATGCCCTTACTGTCTTCTGTCACAGACAAATTTAGTAAGAACTCTTTGTTTCTGAATTACTCATTTAATTACTTCTGTCTTATGCTGTCTCCATTGAACTCCAGCAGGTTTTGGAATAACTTAACCCTTTGGAGACGTTGAGGCCGAAATATCAGCCCGACACAAGGTAGCCAAAAGGATGAGTGGGCCGATCGGTCGGCCCTATGTATTGCATGCCATCTTATGGTTTCTCTTGGACGATATTTCTTCAGTCCATTTGTTTGCAGTTTTGGTGCCTGTTTCATGATTCTCTGTCCACTTCTGCTTATGATGTGCCCAATATGTTCTTTATCTTACAACTGTTGATACTAGAAGTTTTGCAGACATGTATCTTATTGCTTTCCTTTCTTGAATTCATTCCATTTAGTGTTTAATAATTTCTTCAGCCATCTTGCTGCAGATTATGTAGTTTTTTGTTTTGTTCCATGTCAATAATGGTTCTCCACTTTCATTGGCATATGTTAGAATGGAAATAACTTTTGAATAATGAAAAAAAAAAAAAAAAAAAATGTGACTTGGTTTTGAATTTAGAAGTCTATATTTTGTTCAGGCTTTTTTCAGTTGCTGTTGCCTTACCAGTGTATCTCATAATAATTCTGTGTTTCCTGAAAAGCTCAATTCTTCTGCTACTTTCATTATTTTTGTTTGAACTCTCTCTTCTTCTGCTTCATAGAGTTTAGCGGCTGTTAAACTCCATTGGAAAGTTCTGGTTGTTCGCTGACTTCTGGACTTATGTCTTGTTCCAGAATTTAGGTTTTGCTTTCATAATCATTTCACAGATAGGCTTATTTGTATTTAGGCTGCAGGTTCCTTGCATCTCAGACAGATGCGCTGCAGCTTCCTAGGAAACATCCCAAATTAGTCACCTTTTATGATAAGGGGGCAGTGTGTCTGTGAGGTTAGTGTGAAGTATACAAAAGCTGCTCGTTCTGTAAATGACTTGTTTAATAAATTTACTTTTTCATAGTTGGTTTGTAGTCCAACCTATTTGCATGTTGTTGCTGTTCGTACTTAGCAGGAAAAAAATCTCATTTGCATAATCCAAAGCATCTTAATTTGTGTTCTCAACTCAGTTGATGTTTTTTATCACCCAAAATATCTTCATCATCATCACCTGATGATAATAGTTATGCCAAATAACATGGCAGATAAAATAATGCCCAAACTAATCAGGAAGGCAAAGGTCAACAAATGGCTACAGAAGTCTGATGTGTCGGCCAGAAGATGCAAATCTCACAGCTGTGCTGTAAACTATCACAATGCAATCACATCTTCAGATGAATGCAGAAGAAGAAGAAAAAAATCCCTGTTTCACTCCACCTTTGACTCCAATTTAATTATCGAAAAACCATTCCTGTTGTCGTTTCTGGGGCCCTGTGGAAATTGGGGGAGGGGGGGGGGGGTGTGTGTGTGTGTGTGTAGTTAGTGTTAGAACAAGAACATACTCGCTGCCCCCTGTAACAATTTTGTGAAAGTCGACTGAATAGGGGTTTTGGTGAGGAAAGGCATACATAATGCACCTTATCAGTTACTACATTTCGCTCCTGAGAATTTATAATTTTAAATAGCCAGTGTTTGAATCGAACAAAGATTTTTTTTTTAAATTGTGGGCAGTAGGAGTAAAACTGAAAATTCACAAAAATGGAGTCATAAAATCTATCAATCAGGTGGCGTCTCTACAATGAAGATTAAGTGCTACAGTGAAGGTTGGCTGCAATGTATCTCCAACACGCTCTGTCTCTTGTCCTGGTTGTAGACTCTCACACTGCTGTTTCTCCACCACCAAATGTTGTCCTTCCACATTGTTTGCTGCTTGCCCTCAACAATTGCCTTTAGTATGGTTTTTTAAAGTTGTATGCCTTTTAAACTGGGCAAAATATTTCAGTTGTCTCTATTTTATTTATTTCCGTCATTCTTTTTTTATTCGTAGTCTTTGCAGAACCACTGTATGTGATTGCGTTTCCATGAAGTATGGCCTATTCTTCTGTATATCCATAATTCCAAAAACTTAGTTCGATTTTCTAGTTGCTTTTTCATTGTCCAAGTTTCTGTACCTGACAGCAGGGTCGGATATACCTAACATTTGATGATTCTCATTGTTATAAGAACATTGTCATTAGAATAAGTAAAAAGTTTCTCCAATATGGGACATGTAGTAACAGATGATGGAAGAAGCGAAACAGAAATCAGAAAAAGAATAGGGATGTCTTCAACCAGATGCAAAAAACAATTTCAGCTGGAGATAAATAACACACTAAAAATGAGAATCGTTTAATGTTATGAATATCAAATCCTTCTATGTGGTGTGGAAACTAGGACAACGAACAAGCAGCTAGAAAATTGAATATCATGGATTTTCTGTCTAGGAAATTCAGGTGTGCTGTGTAATGAGCAAGCTGATATATTGGCTGCTGCCACTCCTCTGGATGGTGAACTACTTTATTAAATAAGGCAAAGTAGTGAAGGCTCTCAGGTATGAAGTGGACAGAGCAACAGAACAGACCAAGGATCCATACATTGATAGGCTAATTCAGCTAGGGGTGATCAGGGGGGTCTGGAAGATATTCAACATTGCTGGGAAAACAGGCGTACATTTAATCAGGTTGCAACCGGTATTGTTAGCATATCGACTCTCCATTGGCTACTGAAGAAGGAGATGAAGTATATATGGGAATGTTCCGAACGCAGGGATGTCAGTTCTTGATTCGTTTATTCTCACCGTGAACTGTTATTACCATTACTCTTTAATTTAAATGACAAGTGTAGAAAAATACCAATGGAAAACTGTTCCCCTTCAGTCACTACTTTGTGCTTCCCCACCTCGGAATGTTTCCCGGTAATCTACACTCCAACCATCAGTACCATTAGCTATCTAGACACGCCCACATGCCTTCATAAATATTCTCTCATGCTTAAAGTTGTTACTTTTCTGCGTTTGTTTCTGTCAACTCTGTTTGAATACCTTGGGCCAGAACTGGTCAGTCAGGTGTAGCAATATCCTGAACTAATCAAATTCGCCTGCATGTGATATCTCACTTGGTCCGGGCATATGATTCCACGCTGATGGATGTCCCTTATTTGCAGATACCTAATATAATTAGTAATAAAGATGTCCTGGCATACATTCGTCACATTATATTATATGTACCCATTTTGCTCTTAAAAGCACAAACAGTTCTATAAATTGCATCTGTCCAACTTATTGTCTAGACAGAATATAATTATAAGCCAGAAACATTCTGCTCCGGTTACGGATTAGTCAATTCGTACATGTAGGAAAGACAATATCAGATAGAGTGCTATTAGTAAAACTTCGCGGCAGACCGTTTGACATCAACTTAGTACAGATTTATGTCCCAACAGAAGATAGTTTAGAGAAAGATATTGGCGCATTTTATGACGAGTTAGACATGGCTGTTGATCAATGCAAAAATTGTGAAGTAACAATAATACTTGGAGATTTCAATGCGAAAATAGGAAGTGAAAA